GAACCTTAAGGGCTTGTATCGCGATGGGCTACACACCCAGCGCATGGAAACTGGCAGGTAGTTTCATCCCGAAGGCGGGAAGAACAAGTTACACCAAGGCAAAGGATTTCAGGCCAATTAGCCTAACATCGTTTCTCCTTAAGACATTGGAGAAGCTGGTGGACGCGTATCTGAGGGAGACAACTCTGTGGAGTCACCCTCTCCACAAAAATCAGCACGCGTATCGTTCGGGCTATTTCACCGAGACTGCTCTACATCAGACGGTAGCGTTTATTGTGAAGCAGCTGGAAAGAAAGGGCTACGCAGTGGGTGCTTTCTTGGACATAGAGGGCGCCTTTAACAACACACCGCACGAGGTAGTGTGTGAGGAAGCCGCCAGAAGGGGTGTCCCGATGAAGCTCGTCGAGTGGATCTGGGGCATACTAGGGAGGCGTGTGATGACTTCGTTGGGAACTGCGAAAGTCTGTGGGTGGGTGGGAAGGGGCTGCCCGCAGGGCGGAGTACTTTATGGTGCCCACTTTTATGGTGCCTGGTAGCAGACGGTTTATTAAAGGCACTGGACGATAGAGGCTTCACTGCACAAGGCTACGCGGACGACGTGGCAATACTTGTGCGAGGCCCTTTTCTAAAGACGCTTCTAGAGCTCATGCAGGGAGCACTGAAAGTTGTAGAAGAGTGGTGTCAGAGGACAGGTTTAGCGGTGAATCCACTGAAAACCGGTCTTACTGTCTTAACTCGCAAATACAAGGTGGGCACCATTGTGGGACCCACTCTTGGAGGAGTAAGGTTAGTTCCCAACGAATCAGTGAAATATTTGGGAGTTATCTTGGATAAGAAACTGCTTTGGGAGAAGCACCTTTGTAATCGGTGCAAAGGCTTGTGCCAGTATTTTTGGATGTGTAGAAGGACTTTTGGCCAGACTTGGGGCTTGAAACCGAGTATGATACACTGGATCTACACAGCCATACTTCGCCCCAGACTCACATACGCAGCTGTAGTATGGTGGACTAAGGTGCAAAAGAAAACAGCCAAAGTTGCGCTGGAGCATGTCAGGGCTCTGATTTTGAGAGGGGCCCTGGGTGCTATGGTTACGACACCAGTGGCGGCGATGTTCGGCATCGAACCATTTCATCAGGTGGTGGTGGCTGCTGCAGCAATGGCGGCATACCGTCTGAGATGCGAACTAAAATGGAAGAAGGGAGCCCGGCATACGAGGCTGCCGGAAGACGTTCTGCTGGATCCGATATTCGAGATGCGACAGGACAGAATACCTATTATTCGGGCTTCTGATAGGCGCTTCAAAGTGCATATACCGAGGCCG